CATAATAAATGCATGAACATGTTATTCTACATTACTTACATACACTTCCTACCATCACCCTCAACGGGCATGGTGGAACACACAAGGGGATCAAGCCCCAGTACCAAGAGGTTACCTGTATAATCCTCTCCACGTAGCTCCAATTCAATTTATATTCCGAGCTTGTTTCACAACAGAAATGCCTACACAGAGGACATTCCCAATCAATTACTACTCATACAAATGCATGCAAGTTACTAATTCTACAAGAATGGTTCCAATTACTCACCTCAATCCCACTTGATCCGGGACCAAGGGCAATCCACCTAGCTCACGGTTCGAGGTTCAAATCTACGTACGGCAACCTACAACAACCATGTCCAAATCATCAATACACGACAAATCTATCAAAATACGAAAACGTCAAAAATCCTCCCCCACCCTAGGTAGGTTCGGCCCTATTAGTGTTATTTTGCAATTTATTTTTCTAAATTTTCTTTCTCATTTTCTTATGCATCCTTAGGTTACCAAAAGGTCATAACAAGTGCCACTTTTCATTTTAAATCAGTCAAACATCGTTTAGCCCAATATTTTGCTCTAGGTTCCATTACACCACTCAACACTATCAATTATTTTTTCCATTGGTTTTTCAACCTTTCAACCACCTCACAACCCTTCTAATTACCTTATAATACCCAAACACATCATTCAAATAATTTTTACAACATCAATTCCTTAATTTCTTCACAAGGCCGAATTCTACATAGGTGCACTCCAAGGGACTTTCAATCAACTTTAACTATTCCACACCTCATACAATCCTATTATATCATCATACTACCATACAACAATCCAATTACACAATCCTAACACAATTCCAAAACACAGTCATGGCATCCTCAAATTTTTTCGAAGTTAAAATCATATTTTCACCAATAATTTTTATTGCATTTATAGATCTAACACATCATTCTAAGACATTATCATCTAATACACATTTTCCATTTGAGCTCTCTAACAACACAAATCAACAAAACCCCCTTTAGGGTTCATGAAATCAATCCAACAATCAAACCATTAAAATGGTGAAGAAACTTACTCAAAAGCTTGGCACAAGGCTCCTCCATGACATACTAAACCATTGGAGCATCAATCAACAACATGAACACAAATCTACCACTATGAGCCGCGACCTAGGGGAGGGAATATCTCACTTTCTAGTGGTTTTCAAGTTTCGAGGGTACCACCAATGGGTTTAGAAGATGATTTCCTATAAGTTTCAAGTCAAGGATCAATGGATTTGGTTAAGGTTTGATGGAGTTAGAGAGAAAGAAAAATCAAAAGTGTGTGTCCATGTAGGGGGGGCTGTCCGCGGGTTTCACAAAGGGAGGGGAGGGAGAGATGATGAATAGGACATGTGCTCATGTGGCTAAGTGGTTTTAAGTGAGGTGGACCCCACCGCCACCTCACGCGATTTCAAATTAACTTGAATTTCCCTCTGATTCCACTAAACGTCCATAAATTCACCACCTATTTAGAAACTCTAATTTTTAACATTAACCATTGTCCTTTAATTACCCTTGATCAGATGGATCCGGAGTTCTCCGGTCGTTCGAAGAAAATGTTGTTTTAAGCTATTGCACGCGCCATAGGCACGCTTCCCCAAAGTTACTAATTTCCATCAATTTTCATCAAAATTCACATTTCCTAGTTCTATATACCATTTATAACTTGTATTTAAAACCTAGAGCTCAAAACTCAATCGGTACGCTTTACGGTGCAACTGTACCGCGGTATTTTTACCCGGTAAAAACACTATTCACTGAATTTTCTGAAACTTGCCTAACTACTCAATTTTTCGTTCTGAATCCATTTCCAGGGTTATTTTTACCATCTGAGACCTTCTACTCAAATTTTATCTTCCTAGGGTTGCATGTTGGCTAATTACTGTTTTACCATTCCTTTGTATTCGACCTAATTTTCAGGATTTTCACTAACCATTCCCTTTAATCCATGTTTAATATTTTAATATATAATTTAGAAATGCAAGGTGTTATAGGTTGAGTTACGGCTAGAGAGTAGAGATTTCTGTAGAGTTTTAGCAAGGCGAGTAATGGAGACCAAGATGATTGTTTTAAAGAGAAATGTTGATATTTATAACCTGTAAAAAATTCTTCTAGTGTGAAAAGTATGATGCCACAACAATTTTTCAATCATGTGGACTTCACTTAAGTGTGAAGTTGCATGACTCTTATGTAAGGAAGGGTATTGCATGAATAAAAGAGGAAGCGATAATCAAATGCGGATCATTTGTTCTTAGATTAGTAAGTGACTTGAGCTTGCTAGACAATCAAAGAGAATGTCCTGATAAGACTATCCAACTGATCTAGAACAGAACATTACGGCCCTAATTCTTATCATCTTCTTTTTTCTTTATTGTGTGGTAATCCATGTTTGTTTCAATATATCCCATTACTTAGTATTTAGTTATTATTATTCCTGTGTATTTTGTAATGTTGCATCAAACTGCACAAACTCTTTCCAACAAAAAAAGAAAAAATGTAAACAAACTCCGAACTTTAAAAAAGGAAATATAATGGGAAGGTCTCAACACTTAAGTTTTCTTGTAGTGGACCGTATTTACTACTTGTTTAGTTGTATTTGCCTTTACCTATTTTTTTGCTAGAAGTGTTTACATTAAAATCTTTTACAAATTATTGTTAGAGTCACTCAAAAAGCAGAAAAAAAAAAGCTTTTGCACTCTTCCAAGTGCTTTAATTTTGAAATCCAACCTAACCATAAATCCCAAACCCAATGCTTTTTTTACTTTGGGAGACATCTTTTATAATCTGAAAAGATTGATCAGAATGTGTATAAATCAAAGGGAAGCGTACACCACAAATATTCTCTAGTAAAAAAGTTGTCAAGTATTTCTATAAGTAAATTATTTTAGTATATTATATAATAAAAATCAGTAAGAATTACTCCCTATCTCACAAAAACAAGAACGTAAATTTTTTTATATATCATTATTTTCTGGTTATAACCCGTGAATTCTTACTGATGACTATGGTACAAAAAGGCTGACATAGAATAGTTAAAGAGATAATTGATCTTTTGTTTTTCTGCATGTCACATAGTTTTGATTTGTGAATTTATCAATTTAATAGTTGAAGAGGCTGCAATGTTGTCGTCCCTTGCACTCAAGGCCAGCATGGCTTTCATTATTTTTCAATTCATTCTTTATATCAAAGACCACCCAACACTATGACCAAATCATGCAGATTATTAAATTCTTTTTTTTTGAAAACATAAACCTCACCTCCATGTGCACTTCACTTCTCCATTAGATTCCTCAGGCACTTCCTCCATCTATATATAAACAAACCAATTAAAATGAATCCCATTTAATTCCTTTTTATTTAAACATAAATGTCCTTTACCAAAGAAGTACCAAAAAATTTGAGTAATTTTTTTTTATCAACAAATATGGATATCAAGTTTTACTTTTGATGGCGGAAACTGTGTGTATGGTTACTTCAACTATGTGTGAATCCACTACTTTGAATTTTGGTATATTGATTGACATAATGGAAGGGATTCTAATATTCAAATTTGAAATCCAAGGTGGAGAACACAATTAAGGTTAAATCGATACACGAGGTAAAGCAAGCTGTGCTTAAGGAGCGAATTAGTTGAATGGTCTCTAACTTGATTCCTAAGGGAAATAGATCAGTAATAAAAATATTTGCGCTATAAGTCACGAAGGAATTAGTCTCGTTCAAATGAATGAGAAACATTCTTGAAAAACCAAAATAAATAAATAAAAAAACCCTATAATTATAGTGAAATCAAGATAGGATCATCGATTGCTATGATTGTAGAATCGTGAGTGCCATATAGAAAATATTCCCTAATTTGATGGGATGATTACTAATAGAGAAATTGAGGTGGGATTCAGGATATTAGGCTAAAGGGTCCAACCCATCTTTGCATTCTTTAGAATCTGAACCAAATATTTTAGTTGGCAACTTAGTTACTGTATGGAAACACAGAAGGTAGCAGCCACATGAATGACTCATAAACTTTAACCACATAAAATAGATGGACCACAAAAGTGGACCTAGGAAAGTAAAGGAAGAAGTTATGTTCTTGACTAAACATAGCAAGAGCTATAACATTCAAAATATCATAATGTCCGTTCTATTTGATGATCAACCTATCACATCTTTGATGTAATAAACTTAATGCCACATTAGTGATAAAGCCATTTTCCTATACACACATTTTTCTAGTCTAGTCCAGCGCAACTTAAATATACCTTATTTCTTGCTAGTACCACCTTTGGGAGGGGTTTAAAGCCTTAATTCTGGACCCTCCCCGAATCGGATTAGTTGCGAAGCAATGAACCGATTGGAATATTTCCAAAAAAAAAAAATATACCTTATTTCTTGCCAACCGTAGCAACTAAGTATAAGGGATGATAAATAATGACTCAGTGAACCAAATAGTGGTAGCTCAGTTGATGCATGAGAGTTGAGGAGGTGGGGGTGAGAACATGTATTCAATCTTTGCCAGTACCATCTTTGAGAGGGGTTTAAAACCTTAATCGTAGACCTGCTCCGAACGGACTAATCGCGAAACGATGAACTTATTGGAATTTTTTACAAAATATAATGACACAGTTATGCAGAAAACAAAACAGGATAATACAAGTGTCCACGTGGGGAGCATAAACTTGGAAACCACCTTTAGCTCCACCATTTTCATCTCTGACAGTTTACTATTAGTGAAACACTAGCTAACAAATAGTAACAAATTGGTATCCATTCAGATTGCAAAATTCATAAGATTTCAACTGATTACTTGAGAGGTTAAACATGAAGAATCAATATATATATAGTTTACCTTAATGAAAAACAACTTGTTATGAGTATGACCACAATCTCTTCATTATTAAACAACAAAACAAACCTATTACAATAATAAAAGAAAGAAAAAAGAAGAAGCTGGCTCTTGGATCCAGATCTTCTGCTCTTCTTCCTCTATAAACAAAACATGGGGTTTCCCCCTCTACAATCCCAAAACAAATCAACAGTCCTCTTCTCTCAACAATGCCTGGAAGCTTAAGGAATCTGTCACTTTCTCCCAAAATCTTCTCCTTCACCTTGCTTCTCTCATTAAACATCCTTCTCTTTCCATGTTGTTACTCCCTTAATGAACAAGGCCAAGCTCTTTTAGCATGGAAAAACAGTTTAAACAGTACTCTAGATGCATTAGAATCATGGAATCCTTCACCTCCAAGCCCATGCAATTGGTTTGGGGTGCACTGCAACTCACAAGGAGATGTGATAGAGATAAACCTGAAATCAGTGAACTTACAAGGCTCATTACCTTCAAATTTTCAACCTCTCATGTCCTTGAAGATTCTTGTCCTCTCATCAACCAACATCACAGGAAGGATTCCAAAAGAGATTGGAGACTATCAAGAGCTCATCTTTGTTGATCTTAGTGGAAATTCTCTTTTGGGTGAAATCCCAGAAGAGATTTGCAGCCTAAGTAAACTTGAGACTTTATCTCTCCATACAAACTTCCTTGAAGGAAATATTCCATCCAACATTGGAAATCTATCAAGTCTTGTGAACTTGACAATCTATGACAATCATCTGAGTGGTGAAATTCCAAAGAGTATTGGCTCATTAAGCAAACTACAAGTATTCAGAGCAGGTGGCAATAAAAACCTCAAGGGTGAGATCCCATGGGACATTGGAAACTGCACCAACTTGGTCATGTTAGGCCTTGCAGAAACCAGCATTTCTGGGTGTCTTCCTTCTTCAATCCAAATGCTGAAAAGAATTAAGACCATAGCCATTTACACCACTCTATTGTCAGGCTCCATTCCAGAAGAGATTGGCAATTGCAGTGAGTTGCAGAACCTGTACTTGTATCAAAACTCTATCTCAGGTTCAATCCCAAGCCAAATTGGAGAGCTCAGCAAGCTAGAGAATCTACTTTTGTGGCAAAACAACATAGTTGGTACAATCCCAGAAGAGCTTGGAGGCTGCACAGAGATCAAAGTCATAGAATTATCAGAAAATCTTCTCACAGGTAGCATACCAAGGAGTTTTGGTCAGCTTTCAAATCTCGAAGAACTTCAACTGAGTGTCAATCAGCTCTCAGGTACAATACCTCCTGAAATTTCAAACTGCACTTCTCTGACTCAACTTGAAGTTGACAACAATGCTCTCTCAGGTCAGATTCCTGATCTTATTGGTAACTTGAGAAGCTTGAATCTGTTCTTTGCATGGCAGAACAAGCTAACAGGAAAAATCCCAAATAGTCTTTCAGAGTGCCAAGACCTTCAGGCACTTGATCTGTCTTACAACAATTTGATTGGTCCAATACCAAAACAACTATTTGGGTTGAGGAATCTCACCAAACTTCTCCTTCTTTCCAATGATTTATCAGGCTTTATACCTCCTGATATAGGTAACTGCACAAGTCTCTACAGGCTGCGTTTGAATCAGAATAGACTTGCAGGTAACATTCCACCTGAGATTGGAAACTTAAGGAGTTTGAATTTTGTGGATATGAGCAGCAATCATCTTGTAGGGGAGATTCCTTCAACACTATCTGGATGCCAAGATCTTGAGTTTCTTGACCTTCATTCAAATAGTCTCACAGGTTCTGTACCAGATTCTTTGCCCAAAAGCCTTCAATTGATTGACTTGTCATACAATAGGCTAACAGGTGCATTGAGTCAAAGCATTGGTTCATTAACTGAGTTAACCAAACTCAACCTGGGAAACAATCAGCTAAGTGGAAGAATCCCATCAGAGATCTTATCTTGCTCTAAGCTACAACTTCTAGACTTGGGAAGCAATAGTTTCACTGGAGAAATACCAAAGGAATTAGGCCTAATTCCTTCACTGGAAATCTCTCTCAATCTTAGCTGTAACCAGTTTTCTGGTGAAATTCCATCACAGTTCTCTAGTCTTAGCAAACTAGGAGTGCTTGATCTCTCACACAACAAGCTCTCAGGGAATTTAGATGCTCTCTCTGACCTTCAGGATCTTGTGTCTTTAAATGTTTCCTTCAATGGCTTCTCCGGTGAATTGCCTGACACCCCATTCTTCCATAAACTCCCTCTCAGTGATCTCACTGAAAATGAAGGTCTCTACATTGCTGGGGGTGTTGTAACTCCTGCTGACAGAATGGAATCCAAAAGCCATGTCAAATCAACTATGAAGTTTGTTATGTCCATTCTATTAAGCACCAGTGCTGTACTAGTGCTCCTCACAATCTATGTCTTGGTTCGTGCTCATATGGCCAACAAGGTGCTCATGGAAAATGATAGTTGGGAGGTGACTCTGTATCAGAAGTTTGACTTCTCCATTGATGACATTGTCTTGAATTTGACATCTTCCAATGTGATTGGCACTGGAAGCTCTGGAGTTGTGTACAAGGTGACAGTTCCAAATGGTGAAACACTAGCAGTTAAAAAGATGTGGTCATCAGAAGAGTATGGAGCATTCAATTCTGAAATTCAAACATTGGGGTCAATTAGACACAAGAATATCATCAGGCTTCTGGGTTGGGGATCCAATAAGAACCTGAAGCTTCTGTTTTATGACTACCTCCCTAATGGAAGCCTGAGTTCATTACTTCATGGTTCAGAGAAGGGAAAAGCAGAATGGGAGACAAGATATGATGTTATATTAGGTGTGGCTCATGCACTTGCATATTTGCACCATGACTGTGTGCCTGCTATAATGCATGGAGATGTCAAAGCCATGAATGTGTTATTAGGTCCTGGCTATCAACCTTACCTTGCTGACTTTGGCCTGGCAAGAATTGTAAGTGAAAATGGTGATAGTACTAATTCCAAGCCAGTTCAAAGACATTACCTTGCTGGTTCATATGGATACATGGCTCCTGGTATATATATATATATTTTTTTTCTACTAAAATTGAATTAATTTTCAGTACTTATTAACCCCTTGAATAGTACTAATTTCTGTTGTTTTCTGTTTATGCTCAGAACATGCATCAATGCAACCTATTACTGAGAAAAGTGATGTGTATAGTTTTGGTATGGTTCTAATTGAGGTCTTAACAGGAAGGCACCCATTAGACCCAACTCTACCAGGGGGTGCACACTTGGTTCAGTGGGTTAGGAACCACTTAGCAAGCAAAGGAGACCCATGTGACATTCTTGACACAAAGCTTAGAGGAAGAGCTGACCCTACAATGCATGAAATGCTACAAACTCTAGCAGTGTCATTTCTATGTGTAAGCACTAGAGCTGTTGACCGTCCAACAATGAAGGACATTGTTGCAATGCTCAAGGAAATTAGACCTGTTGAGACCTCAAGGGCAGACTCTGATGCATTGAAAGGAGGTTTAACATCACACAGTTCCCCAACACCTCCTAAGAATGTAGCTTCACATGGGTCTTCTTCATGTTCCTATAATTTCTCTGATGACTCAATCAGTTGATCAAGTATGCATCTCATGAACAATTAAGCTGTGTGCTTCATTCAATTGTGCATAGTCTAATGCAATGCCAATTATTAGAGCTGGCCTGAATTATTAATTAGTGATATTCTAGTAATCTAGTGTGGTATTTTTTATTTTTTTTTGTTCCACATCTAATGTAATTTCATATAGACAATGCAGCTTTCTATCATCCATATATTGAATGTATAAATAAAAATAATGTCATGTGTATTTTACCTAACAACTTTAGCTTTTAGTCTTTAACATTCTTATTTTAAGTGTTAGTGTTGAATGAATGAATACATAAGCAAATTAATAACATTTTCTTGGGTTGTAAGGTGTTATTGCCAACTGGGGTATTTCTTGGGAACAGTAAAGGCTTAACTGTCCATGAAGAAGAGAGTGACTTCAAGGCTTGCAGAAGCTGAAACAATGATTGGGATTTTTGGATATATGTATTTAGCATTTATTGATAGAGAATAATATTCCTTTACTCATTCTCTCTCTTTCATCCCCACACACAAACACATCCAAGCCAGCCTTTCAATCAGTGCCCACATGGTCCCACGTTCAATACCACATGTCCATGTGCTTTCTGAGGCAGACTTTTCAGCAGTCGGAAACTCCTCCACAAGAGCAATTATATATATACAGAGCGAGAATCCTTTGACATCAGTGTCAAATTTGAAATTTGACACCTCATCTGAGAGCCGTTAGATCAAAAGAGATCAATGGTGTCACATGCTTACAAATAGAGTCGTTGATTTTTTTGATCTAACGGGAGGTGTCAATATATATATATATATATATATATATATATATATATAGGGACAAGATCCGTTTACAAATTTTTTTGAATTTTTTTACAAATTATACTATGCTCTCCCGGAAGAACATAGTGTAGTTTGTAAAAGTTTGCATTCTCCCGGGAGGATATAGTGTAGTTTGTAAATAAAAAAGTTTGTAAATATAACCTACCATATATATATATATATATATATATATATATAAGCAGGATATTCTTGCACCGGTGTAAGAGTTAGAAGTATTATACACAATCTTAATCAGTGATCCACTTGTATTCAATGACTCACATTATTAGAAAATTTGAGCACTTAATATAAATGAGATCAACGAACAAAATTAAGAGTGTAACTTACACTGGTGTAAAATGATACTGACCCATATATATATATATATATATATATATATATATATTATATATATATATATGAGGTAGGATCTTTTGACACCAGTGTCAAATTTGACACCTCATCTAAGAACCATTAGATCAAAAAAGATCAACAACTCTGAATTGTAAGCACGTGACACCATTGATTTTTTTGATCTAATGGCTCTCAGATGAGGTGTTAAATTTTAAATTTAACACTGGTGTAAGAATAAAAATTTTTACACCAAGTCTTGATCATTAATTTTCTTGCATTTAACGGTTCAAATATCTAATAAATTAGAACTATTAGATATAAATAGGACCAACGATCAAGATTGAGAGTGTAACTTATACCGATCGGTGTAAAATGATCTTGACCTATATATATATATATATATATATGAAAGACTGTACTAATCAGATGCACATGTGCAGGACCAGTATAATAATGGAACAATGAATGATGATATTAATAATAATATAGCTAGTAAGTGCTCCAGATTAACCAACTTCAATATACCCTCTCATAAATAAATAAAACAGCTTTGTATTTGTAAGTATAAGTTTTGATGATCATAATGTCAATGCTCAGGTAGAAGTGCAAAGTTTGAAGGATATATTGACTGTAATAGTAATCTCTATATATGTATTGTAAATTGTAAGTAATACCAATTCTGGTCAATTTATGTGTTGCATGTATTTATTTTGACTTCTTTCTCTAATGCTTTTCATTTTATTGAATCTTAAACATTAATTAAACTGGTTATTTGCAAGCTTTATTATGTTCTCTGTGCTAAACAAAAAGCTTTGGTGTTGGAAGTTTTAACGAACTCGACTAATCTAATTTTAGGTTTGAGTCTCTCTACTCATTTTAGAAATTATGACTCTTAAGAAAACTCAAAAATCAAATTATGGAATCTAATTGTATTGCTACTAGAACAATAATTTTTGGGTTGTGGTTTTTTTCAGTTACTTTCAATAGAAACAATCATTTTTATTATTGAATTCTGTATTTAAATAATCATCTAATAACTAATGATACTGCCAACAAAATAGGAATATCGAATCTGTAGAAGCAGCGTAAAACCAAAGTTATTAGTCTTGTTTTATGCATGTGAATAAGAAAAATCTAAGATGAATAGAGAAGAAAAAAGGACTACATTGAAAGAGCCACAAAATTATTTACAAATTATAATACGAAAAAACCTAATGAACAACAGACACACCAACCACAGAAACACGTAATTGTAACAACATATTTTCATTATTTTCTCAGTTCTGCCTCCAAAATAAATTCATTCAACTTTTTTTTAATCAATAATCAAAGTAAAAAAATCTTTAATTATTTTACTGGTTCCTAAAGTTTTAATCAGTTTTTAAAATAGTTCTAATATTTTAATTTTTGGGATTTGCATTCATTATGCAACATGACAACAAAAAATTTTCTACACACACAATATTTTGTGGGGCACGTATCTTTTGAAGCCAAAAAAAAAACTACGGAATGGAAAACGACTCTCTATAACATAACACAATCACTTTTCCTACAACATAACTTTTATAAAACCCTTACTTTTTTTAACTAGATCCTTATAATTAACAAATATGTTTTATGAGGCCGCACCATGATTCGTGTCGGTTTGGTTTTCATGTGATTAAGATGGCAAACTGGCATTAATTATTACCTAAAATAAAGACCTTTACTATACAAAAAAAAAAAAAAAAAACAATAAAGATGTAACAGTCCCAAACCCTGTAGCATGATATTGTCCGTTTCGCCTTCGGGCTCACGGTTTTGTTTCTTGGGACACCCCACAAAAGGCCTCACACTAGAAGAGGTATCCACACTCTTATAAGGCATGTTTCGTTCCCCTCTCCAACCGATGTGGGACATTACAAAAAACATTTAAATTTGATAGATTTATTTGCGAAAATGTTAAATTTGAAGAGGTTTTATGCAGTCAGGAGGGATTTTTTTGACTACGATATAATTAAGATTAAGAAGTGATATTCGACACTTTTATTCATTTAACGGTTATAGTTTATTGAGAGCTATTCCAATTAATTAAGGGTTTATATTTCTTTTGTCATAGGATATAAAATTATCTCCACTTTTACCACACACAAAAAGTTATCTTCAGCAACCCAAAACTACGTCGTGTTGAGAGGTGAGGAAATTAATGAATGGTGTTCTGGTAAAATTCATACAACAAATAAACAATCAAAATTCTTATAGAATATTAATTATCTCAATTCCCAAAATATGTAGTTTTGAGGTCGCTAGAGATAATTTTATCCACTATGATAAGAGAAATGATAAATCCATTAATTAATTATTAATTACAAATAAATTACAGTTATTAAATGGACGAAAATCAACGTATGAGATAAAGTGTAAGACTTCGTAATCTTACACTCGAGTCAAAAAATCTCTCCTCTATTATTATTATAATTAATAATTTAAGTTTCTGAGTTGATTAGGTCTTTATACAGTGATAGAATTTTTGTAATCAAGCAGTCACAATTCCTCATTTACCTTGGCCATTTTCTAATAAAATTGAAAACCAAAAGTTTAAGTTATTAATAGAAGATACATTAATTATTTCAATTAAAAGTTTAAGTTATTAATTGAAGATACATTAATTATTTTTCTATATTATATTAAATATAGTATCTCCTCCTTAGTACTGTAAATAAAATGAGGCCATTTAAAAGTTAATAATAATATTATCTAGAACTGAGTTCTGATCTTACACTGAACAAGCACCAGATTTCCAAGAATAGGAAAACACCGGTGTTTGGTTTAGGGTAAATTTTATGAATAGTAGGTAAATGTGATATATAGGGAAATGGTTGGAAAGTGAGATAGGTAGATAAATGTAAAAAAATGTTGTTTGGTTGGGAAAAATTTTACTGGAGAAATTAGGTAACTTTTTTAAAATCTATGTTTGGTTGTAGGTAAAATATAGATGAAAAAATTAGGTAAGTTTACAAAAATAACCCTGTTTGTACTATATTTTTACTGGGCATGCTACTTTACCAAATCATCGTTTCCGCTCTGCAACCTTAACATTAGTATACAAATGAAGGTTTGTATGTGATCAAGCAACACTACCAAATCATCTTTCACATTTATTCCTGTATTACCCACATACTCTATCAATGTAACAAACCCATCATCACCTGCAGATGAAGAAGAACCACCTAAGGCCTTCAGTGACCTTACCCCAAACCCAGAAACTGAAGCCATTCTTGGTCTGCAGATAGGGGTCCTTCCTGGCAAAAGTTGAGCTTTTGATAGGAAAGTTTGAAGCTTTGGCCGGAAAGTGATGAGTTGATATAAGGGTGATGATGTTGCAGCTGACTGCATATTGAGAGAAACAGAGGGTGAGGGAGACAATAATGCATATACCACCTACGCGAACAAGGGTACGCTCGTCTTTGGCTTTGTTCAGGGGGTGAGAAATTGTCGAGGTTTTTGACAATACCACCTACGCGAAGGAGTTCTTTGGCCGACTTTTTGAGGAGAAATAGCTATGCATCTAGGTTTCCTATGAATCACGTTTAGGTGGCTAAATCAGGAACCACGATTAACCAAACATAGCTTTCTTATATTCTCATTCATCAGATATCTATCATTCTCAACATTTATCCTAAACCAAACACCACCTAATTGTACTTTTGACTAAAAGAAGGGTTCATTTTACCAAGACAGTACAAATCTTATGGATTCTTAATGCCATATGGCCTAGAGCATATTGAAGCATTGACATGACTAATATTTTTGTTGCTATAGCATTATGTGCCAATCTAGGCTTCATCCTTATCCATGTTACATTTTGAAGTAACATGCATGGACCCTACCAATGGATTTCCAGATTAGCATCAAATTAATTGGATGTCCCAATTGCGCACTACGTAGGATCCTTGTTTTCTAGTTTCCTCAATATGAAGTTAAT